ACTTGTGGGGGGCAGTAATTGTCTACTAATTATGTCCTTAACAGAATACCCCACAAGAAAACCAACAGCACTCCTTATGAATTATGGAAAAGTCGACCACCTTCCTATAAATACTTAAAAGTGTGGGGGTGTTTGGCAAAAGTTGAAGTTCCTGTTCCGAAAAAGACAAAGATAGGACCAAAAATAGTAGATTGTGTGTTTATTGGTTATGCTCAGAATAGTAGTGCATATCGGTTTCTGACTTATAAATCAGAAATTCCTAATATAAATGTGAACACTATTATAGAGTTAAGGAATGCTGTATTTTTTGAACATGTCTTTCCTTACAAGAAAAGACAGAAAATAAGTTCACAGAAAAAAACTTATGATTGTACACAAAGTCAAGAGACTAAGGACAATCAAGAACAAGAGACTAATAATGGTCTCGACCAACAGGATTTAACTGATGATGAACCAAGACGATGTAAGAGAGTAAGAACATCAAAATCCTTTAGTCCAGATTTTCTGACATACCTGTTAGAAAATGAACCTCAAAGCTTTAAGGAAGTAATGACAGGTCCTGAAGTACCATTGTGGAAAGAGGCTGTTAATAATGAAATTGAATCCATTATGCAAAATCATACTTGGGAATTGGTAGAAAGAATAGAACCCTAAAAGAAATGATGAATGCCATGTTACTAAGTTCAGGCTTACCGCAGAACTTGTGGGGGGCAGTAATTGTCTACTAATTATGTCCTTAACAGAATACCCCACAAGAAAACCAACAGCACTCCTTATGAATTATGGAAAAGTCGACCACCTTCCTATAAATACTTAAAAGTGTGGGGGTGTTTGGCAAAAGTTGAAGTTCCTGTTCCGAAAAAGACAAAGATAGGACCAAAAATAGTAGATTGTGTGTTTATTGGTTATGCTCAGAATAGTAGTGCATATCGGTTTCTGACTTATAAATCAGAAATTCCTGATATAAATGTGAACACTATTATAGAGTTAAGGAATGATGTGTTTTTTGAACATGTCTTTCCTTACAAGAAAAGACAGGAAATAAGTTCACAGAAAAAAACTTATGATTGTACACAAAGTCAAGAGACTAATGACAATCAAGAACAAGAGACTAATAATGGTCTCGACCAACAGGATTTAACTGATGATGAACCAAGACGAAGTAAGAGAGTAAGAACATCAAAATCCTTTGGTCCAGATTTTCTGACATACCTGTTAGAAAATGAACCTCAAAGCTTTAAGGAAGTAATGACAGGTCCTGAAGCACCATTGTGGAAAGAGGCTGTTAATAATGAAATTGAATCCATTATGCAAAATTATACTTGGAGATTGGTGGACCTTCCACCTGATTCTAAACCTCTTGGATATAAATGGATATTCAAGAGAAAAATGAAAGCAGATGGTTCAATAAACAAATAAATTAAGACTTGTAGTAAAAGGTTACAGACAAAATGAAGGTCTGGACTATTTTGACACATATTCTGATGTGACAAGAATAACATCCATTCGCATGCTTATTGCTATAGCAGCGTTGTATAATTTAGAAATGCATCAAATGGATGTTAAGACAACTTTCTTAAACAGTGATCTAAATGAAGAGATCTATATAGAGCAACCCAAAGGGTTTGTAATGCCGGGGTAAGAAAAGAAAGTTTGTCGGCTTGTAAAATCTCTTTATGGATTAAAACAAGCACTTAAGTAATGGCATGGAAAAATTTGATCATGTTATGCTTACTAATGGGTTTAAGATAAATGAATGTGACAAGTGTGTCTATGTTAAAAACACTGACAAAGATTAAGTCATCGTTTGTCTTTATGTGGATGACATGCTTATCGTTGGAAACAGTCAAAACATGATCAAATCAACTAAGCAAATGCTTAACAAAAGATTTGATATGAAAGATATGGGGGTCGCAAATGTAATATTATGAATGAAAATTACTAAAACATCTTACGGATATGCATTATCTCAATCACATTTTATTGAGAAAATTCTTGGTAAATTTATCAATGATGATATGAATGTAACTAGAACACTTGTAGACATCAGTCTTTATTTATCGAAAAATAAAAGTGATGCAGTATCTCAGTTAAAATACTCACAAATCATTAGAAGCCTAATGTACCTAATGAATTGTACTCGTCCTGACATAGCTTATGCAGTCAGTAAATTGAGTAGGTACTCTAATAACCCTAGAGAAGACCATTGGAAAGCGATCATTCGGGTTCTTAGATATCTAAGATTTACCCGTCATCATGGTTTGAACTTTACTCGATATCCAGCAGTACTCGAAAGTTATTGTGATGCCAATTGGATATTGGATACTAAAGATTCAAAATCCACTAGTGGATATGTCTTTACTCTGGAAGGCGCTACTGTTTCTTGAAAATCCACGAAACAAACATGCATCGCACAATCCACAATGGAATCTGAGTTCATTGCTTTAGACAAAGCATGAGAAGAAGCAGAATGGTTTCGTCACTTTTTAGAAAACATTTCAATGTGACCAAAATCTGTGCTAGCTATCTACATTCATTATGATAGTCAATCTGCAATAGGCAGGGTACAGAATCATATGTATAATGGTAAGTCACGACATATTCGTCGTTGACATAATACCGTAAGGTACTTGCTCTCAAATGGAATAATCTCAATAGATTATGTAAAATCTAAAGAGAATATTGTGGATCCGTTAACAAAAGGTTTGATAAAAGAGCAAGTGTATAGTTCATCGAAGGGGATAGGTTTAAAACCTATTACATAAGAGTTATCATAATGGTAACACTACTTATATGACTAGAGATCCCAAGAACTAAGTTCAAAGGGACAACTAAGTTATGTGTGGCTCACCAGAAATCACTAAGGAATTAAAATTCCTTACACATTCCTATGGTGAGAGTGATATCTGCAACATGTGTTGTATGTAGGGATTTAAGGATAACCTTGCTTTTAATGATTACTTATATCTTGATTTATGCATAAAATCAAGACGAGTATAAAAGATACTCACAATAAAAATCACCTATATGAGTGTCGAACTAGGGTCGGTTCTATGAGAATGAAGAGTCTAAATTCTCTAAAAGCACTCACGAACAACCAGGAGCGTTCAAGGCTAAAATGAACACAACCGTGAGAACCACGATGTGTCAGAAGATATTTTATGTGAAATCTATTGTCTTGGCTTACACAAACGGCTGAATAATTCAAGGCATCGCGTCCATTGGTTAGCTAGTAAGTTTGATAGGTTATTACTAGGGAAGGTTCAAGGCCGAAAGCTACCTATCTTGATACAAGATATTTTCGATTTATACTCCTTCGACAAATTCTACATTTTGTTGCATTTTCGTTGTCATCAAATTCCATTCATGTGGAGGATTGTTAGAAATGGTTTTGGAAATTAGATTTTTCCTCAACTTTGGTCTATTTTTTAGATGGGACCCACACACCAAAGTTGGCGAGTCTAACTGGTAACGCATTCTATGCCGCGTTGTGATTCACGCGGTATATTTGGTTACTCAAAACCATTATCGGGTGAATGGAAAATTAAAGCCAAAGAGATCTCCATGGAAATGGTATTTTTGGTGAAATTTCCTAAAGGTTTGAATAAAGGCTTGTCCCACATTGATTTGGTGGGAAACTTTGAATGGTTTATAACGCTTGGGGTTTGAACTTGGGATAGGCCCCAAGGGGTACCCAAGTTTTGTAGAGAGGGAGGTTATAAGCAAAGTGGGCTAGACCTACCCAAAATAAACACACACGCGTGCACCGCCGCCGTCCGTCCGGTCGGTCAGGCGAGCTAGGCTGGACTTGGGCGCAAGTGCGTGATGTGTGGTTGGGTTGGGCTTGTCCGGCCCAATACCTATCTTTTTGGGTCAAAAACATTTAAATTTTATTTTCTAAAATTAAATTCTAATTTTTTTTTGGAATTTGAATTTCGAATCAAAATTGGCTCCGGTTTTATTTTCCCCACCCGGACAGATTCAAATATGTTCAATACAGGTTTTATCTGTTCAAAATTTGAACACAACAGATTTGTATCTGTTTATTCAAACTGAACAGGTATCATACCTGTTCATTCAAATCTGTACCTGTTTAATTCAAATTAAACAGCCACCACTCCATTTATAAATAGGCGGCCCCTCATTTGATGTTTTTACTTCAATTTTTGTCCAAAAAATTCTGCAATTACTCTCTACATTTTGCTGCATTATTTTCTTGTGAGAAAGTGTATAAACGCAAAGTGTGTTCGTTGTGCAAAAAATTTGTAATGCTGCTATTGTTTGCTGTTGATTATTTTATCCTGGGAGATAGACGTCCACAATCTGAAAGCACCGTGGAGAAGACGAATTTGTCTTAAGGACACAGTGTTAAACACTGGACTTGATCAGAAAATTTGTTCAACAAATTAATTTGGTAAGTAATTAATTTACTAATCTGTTTTATTATTTTTTCTATTTTATTTTATTTTCTAGTTTGATTTTTGTAATCAAACAAACTCTCTCCTTTGCTTTATTTCTTTTGTATTCCGTTTGATGTTAAATATACAAACAGAATTTATTTTTTTAAATACAGTGAAGATTGTTCAACAATTCTCTCTTTGTCAGAGAGATGTCCAAATTTGATTGGGAATTTCTTCTTGTACTCATCTAGCAGACTTGTTGCATTATTTTTTGGGTGAATAACTTGTTGCATTATTGCATACATCTCATTCGCAGTATATATTCCTTACAAGTTAGGAATCATTTGACTGGGATACAACAAAAAACACGTCAAAATGGAGACGATATTGAAGACAAAAGTCAGAATAAACAACTGGAAAATTTTGGAAAGATGGAAACAAACAAGCGTTTCAAAACCAGTCCCAATCCGGTTATAGTATACAAAATTTTAAAATCTATTCAACATACACAATTAAACTTGAATAGATATTCATTTCGTTCTAATCTTAAAGATTTTATCTAGCCTTATCAATCAATAAAATATACTACTAATTCGATCATATATAATCCCCAGTATCACAATATGAAATTTCTCATTAATTGATAAGATCATCACATAATATTACTCTTTTACTCAAATTAAGAGAAAAACGAAGGGGGAGAACTGTCTGTCTCCCAACTTTCCATGGGATGGATGTAGATATAATCAACTTTCCCTAATACAAAATGAGAAAAACAGTCAATTAAGTAGTTTTTCTCTATGCAATTGAGGCAGTAGTACCCAATTCCTTAGAAACCATTAAGGACTTAAAAATTTCAATTACCAGCCTATTCTCAAACTCATCTTGAGAACAAGCCACTGGAACTCTGCTAGCCATTGAAATCCGATTCCCGCTACGAAAAGCATCTTCACCACTCATGGAGCTCACTCTGCCTGCCAAACTAAGCATCATGTTGATATATGCATTCTTGAGCTTCTTCCAAAGCTTCGACGGTGAAGCAATCTTTAACTGAAACTTTGGAACTGTTTTGATTCTCCAAATTCGCCTCGGCCTCCTCCCTCCAAACCTTGTGATCTTTATCTTTTTTCTGTTTGAGGTTGTACTGTCGAGTCGGCCGTATTGTCTTCTCTTCCAGTGCCTCTTCAGGGTACCCTTAAAGGGGTTAGGAAGACTATCCATGGCTTACAGATCAAATGAAGAGGGAGAGAGATTGCAGGTGATAAGGTAGGGGTGTGTGTTTATATAGGACAGGAGGGAAGATGTTAGTTGTACTGAATTTGTAGTAATAGCTAATTCACAAACATAATTTTTGTTTTTAAAAATAATAATAATAAAAATCTAAATTGATTTGGAAGTGTTATTTTTAAAATGGGTAATGTTATATAAACATAATTTTAATTTATATATATAACTCTGGTACAAAATGATGCAACTTATCATAGTCATTTATTGAAAATCTTAAAATGCTATCACTTTAATTCATAATTAAAAATTTGACAATATCATATGATTTTGTATAAAATTTATGTTTTATTATTATTATTATTATTATTAAATTATAAATCATGGTGATTGGATAGCATGATTTGGAATGAATGAAACACATGCAATCATCTTATTTTATATTAAAATTATATACTACGTGATAAAAATATTATCTATATATATATATTTTTATCACATGTTATTTATTATTTTATTTAATAAGAAGTCTAAGTATGAGACTTATTAAATAAATCTAATATCAATACATGAAATTATAAACAAAAGAACATAAAAATGTAATTGATAGAATGAGGACCACATATGCATTGGGGCCCAGTATAACTAATGTCACAGGCAATCAGGGTAACAAGGGTGAGGCCCAAAAACGCCAATTCGGCCGACCAATCACTAATTCAAATTGTTCTCCTACAAAAGTTGACAAATTGCAAATAAATAGGTTACAAGTCTTTGTGGTTGTGCTTTTCTTATTAGGAGGGTGTCTTTTTCGTTCAATAAAGATATGAAAGAATGTTGTCCATACAGGATGTAGTTTCTGTCTAGTTAGGTAACAGTCATGCTAAAAACCTCAAAATTTCGACGCCGAATTCCATTATTTTTTTTTTATTTTTTTTTGGTTGTATTGGATTGGTTTTTTTTTTTTTTTTTTAGAAGGGTGGTTACGTGTAAGGGTGTATTAAAAAACTAGACATTCCGCACTAACGCAGCTTATGTGGTTTGATAAGGTGAGTGAATTGGGTTGGACTGGTTAAGTGATAAAATAGACTGATCAGTTAGGTTACTGGTTAAAATTTGTTAATTCCATATAATTTTGTACGAGTTCACACTATATTTTTATTTCTATACAATTTTGAAAATTTACTTCGAATCTTCCTAATTTGAAATAAAAATATAATATGAACTCGTACAAAACTGTATGAAATTAACAAATTTTAACCAGCAGCCTAACTGATCAGTCAATTTTATCACCTAACCAATTTAACCTAACTCACTCATCTTATGAAACCACACAAACTGAATTGGTGCAAAATGTCTAATTTTTTAACACATCCCTACACATAACCACCCTTGCAAAAAAAAAAAAAAAAAAAATTCAAACCAACACGGCAAAAAAAAAAACTAATTTCAAGGCATTCGAGCCTCGAAATTTCGAGGCCTCAAGCATTTTTAAATTAGGGAAATCCAATTCAAAATAGTTGAATTTGTTGGGACTCATCATAAATTTTATTTTGATTTTTTGAACGGTTCATCCTTTATATCTTTATGAGTAGATAATCTAAAGAAAAAAAAAAAAAAAAATCAATTTGATTCAAAGTCATAACTACATAATTTCAACAAATTCATTTAAAAAAAATTACAGCAAATATAATTTTAAGAACAAATCTAACAAAATTATGTAATCATAATTATATAATTAAATTATTTTTTTTAATAAATGACCTACGCACACAATTATTTTAGAGTGTACTCAAAAAACTAGGTTCGTCCATTAAAAAATGAATAGAGGTTGAGTTCTCCCACTCATAATCATTATTGTTTTCACAGTTTTCTCGATGAAAGTTTCTCTTTCTCAAATGTGACCGGAGGTATAAAAATCAAAGCTTGGGAGTGGCTTGTGTGGAGTCCAAGTTCGGATTAGGTGGTATTGTTGGGCCTGTGGAAGTCTATCGAGGATCTCGTTTTGATAATCTGAATCATCAATGTGTAGAACTCGTTAAATATTATATATCTATAAAAAATCATATTGATCAGATATCGATAGCTATGTAATCCAATCAGTTTTGTATATAAAAAAAATGAACGATGAAAAAATTAACAGTTGGCAAAAAAACTATTTTAATCACAGAACTATCGATTACGAGTTCTACACATTCACGGGTCAGATTATCAAAATGAAACTCGTAATGAGCCTCACGGGCCCAACAACACCGTCCAATCCGATCTCGGACTACACACAAGCAGATCGCTATATTTTTTGTTCTATTTGTTATATTTGTAATAATTAGCAATATAATTAACAGTAATATTATAATTTTAAACATAAAAACTCAGAAATTATTCAGAATATCATATTTATGGCTCAAATTCATTTTATATACAGATCCACACTATATCAAATTAATCTTTACACACAACACACTATCTAGAAAAATCCAAGTAATTATGTCTACGATCAAAGCATTTTGTATAATTAATGCTTCTATTATACAAAATTACAAATAATTTTCTTTAAAAAATAAAAAAGAAACAAAGAAAAGTACAGAGGTAATCAAATTGGGTATTAGATGGGTGATAAGAGGGAAGAAGTGTGTCAAGGGAGGGTTGGAAATGAAGTACACCATTGACTTCACTTTTAAATGCTATGCTATAAAAATGTGTATATATATTTGGTGTCTTAACAAATATAAAGGATGAAAAAGAAGAAGAAGAAAAAAGAAGACGGCAAATGAAAATTATCTATACAAAATAGAATAATGTTATATGTATAAATTAGTGTATTAATATTAGTGTACCAATTAATGATATGATATAATTTAAAATATTTTTAGTATTTATAATTTGTATAATGAGTGGGGTCAATAATAATATCATAATTAATGTTGATACACTAATTAGTGTATGTAACACACAAAACAAGGTTGATGGAAATGCGTTGCAATCAATCATAGTAGAGAGAGTACACACCGACCAACTAACATGTGAAGGGTTTTCAATCCATGCATGACTTTGGGTACCTTAATAATAATAGTTAGTTAATACAGATATAACAGCCAACTGCAAACCAATCTCCTTCATTTTCAACTTCATTCATGAACTTACTGATGCTTTCTCAGTTATTTGCTAACTACCAACAGATACAATAGAACTAGCACAGAGTCACGTACATTCATGTGTGCTATGTGCCCACACCCTATATCTTCTTTTCTTTTCTCTTTTTTCCTCCCTAGAGAATTGTTTAATATTAAAATTGATGTAAAATATATTTTAAAATTTAAAAAAGAAAAAGTTTCAAATTTTGTCTACATATATTACGTGTCCAAAAAAATAGCAACAATATAAAATAATAATAAAAAAAACATATTTCTGAAAGATTAAAAAAGAACTGCTAGAACTTTATTTCTTTCAACCATACATGGAAACTACGAAAGGCAATTTCTATTGGCCAATGCTTTTATTTTTGGGGTGTCATTGATAAGAAAGTATGTTAGCCCCCAGAAACTCAAGTAATTTGATGCTGCCCCTTGCAAAATTTTCTTTTCTCATTACAATCCAACGTTTTTGATTGGTCATTATAATTTGGCCATAATTTAGCTATAGGACTGGACCATCCAGTTTTGCGCTCATGAGTCCAACACGCGCTCCACTTTGTGATGATCTGAACCAAATCCTAAGTTGTTAATCACACAGCCTCAGATGAAGACAAGTGATTAATACTAATCACAGAGTCTCAGATGACTAGAATTCCAAACAAACAACACCGACCTTAGAGAAGTCCCCCAATTATTCAACCCCCGCTTACATTAATCTTGCCCTCTATCATCAACTGCTAAATGATACCAGAACAATTGTAACAATTGCCAAACAACTCACTCAATTAGTATCTTATATAAACATCATTTATTAAAAACTCAAAAAAATTAATAATCCTCTTCTAAATTGATCACCCATTGTTGTATTAGAATCGCGAGAAGAGCGTATAGGGTTCTGCTAATCTGACGAAAGTAGCCATTGTTGTTTTGCTTAGTTTACTAAAATAGCCTCTCTTTTTTCGTTCTTTTTATTATTATTTGAATTTTCTTTGGCTGCAGCTTAAAAATAAATAAGAACAAAAATCAAGACAAATAAAATTTTCTTTAAGAGGAGTTGATAATTACGAAATGCCCTCTCTTTTTTCATTTTCCCATATGCTGTTGGTATCATAAATTTTTCAAAATCGCTGTAACCCATATTCTATTTGTGTCATAATTTTTTCAAAATCACCGCAACCCATGATTGAAATCAAAATATTCACGCCTCAATGGGGACAAAAATGATATGATTTACATACTGGTATAGAGTGAGGCTGACAAGATTTTTGAAAAACTAGAGAGCATTACAGTCTCTGTGCTTTCTCTCCATGCTCAACAAACAGAATTGGTAATTAATTTCTCTCCAATTACTGAGAAGTTTCCACTTAAATTGAGTATTACATATAGTAAATATGTTATTATACAGCTGTTATTTGCAAGCATCTTCATAAAATGAACTAGGAAACGATTACATGAGAGCAAATGAGCAAGAAGTTTGAAACTCGCAATAAAAAATAATAATTTGAAAATGGGAAAAAAAATGAAGAAGAAGAGAAAAGCGAGCTTTTCAGATGGGCAAGTGTTTATGTTCAATTATTAGTAATTTTCTCAACAAAGCAATTCAACAGCATCTCAAACTGCTAATGAAAAATGCAACCCCAGACTCAATCATATACAAAAATAGTTGGCATTGAAAATGGTCAAACAATATTCACATGTACATCGTAATACCTGAAGTACAATGACGAAGGTTACTAAAAATTAGTAGAAAATTTCAAAATTACCTCCTCCCAGATTCCAAATCTTCCGCTTTCAAACTAGAATCACCTGCTAAAGATATCCCCATGAATGCATTGTTGTTTCTTTCATCTTGTTGACATCCGATATGAGCCTCTCTGGACTGTGCATTTTTTGAATTCACAATAGTTGCTTGTGAAGCTGCACGTGATTCCTCTAACTCCCGAAAATAAGCATAAGGCCCCCAACCTATGGATAAAAATATGCAGAAGCCACAGGTGACTAACATTTTCAACCAAAAACGATTAATTGATGACAACCTTTAGATTAGATTTGGTTTCAATAACCCGTCAGAAGAATATTAGATATTTTTTTACAACACTAGTTCAGAATGTGTACGAAGGCATGCTGAGAATGACGGCCTATTAGGGAAGAACCAAAACGCATTCTAGAGGCCACAACTTAACTGGTTTTGAACCTTTAAGGGTACGGTAGATGCATTTCAAAAGTACATAAAGCCCACATTTGTGATATCGATTCAGAAATGTCTATGATACACTAACAGAATCCAACATGTACATGGAAGTGATATCGAGTAATCTCATCCACATGAACTCGAAGCTAAAGCGCTGAAGTTCAGCAATTTCATTAGCGACACATCCCAAAAATCAAATAAAAAAGCCACTTCTATCGTTTTGACAGAAGTGTAGAATCTTATCAACAATATGTTGTAGCATGTACATGACTTTAACATTTACTTTCCTCAACAGCAAATGATATTTGGTTTTTATATTTAAAAAAGAAGAAGAAGAAGAAGAAGTGGAAAGAAATAGCAGTATACCTTCAGCATGATACGGAGGTGGGAAAAATTGCAAGTAACAAAATATGGCCACCGTGAGACCTACAGAAACACTTTTTAATACTCGGTGAAATTATGCATCTACTGCATGCATCACTATCAGGTATCAATAAGGAATAGCAATAAAAGACATGATTGGACAAACCTAAGAGACCTCCAGCGAACACATCCTGCCAGTGGTGCCAGTAGTCATCAACTCGAGAAATGGCAACCAAAGATGCAATAAGTAAAGGAAGAAAAACAATGCACAGTTTTGAAACATGGCCTCTACGATCAAATGCTTTTATCTTTCCAGATAAATACAATGAGAGAAATCCCAGACCAGCAAAGGACCCTGCAAATTAAAAATGCAATTCTCCACAAAGTTAAAAGGTCTTGGGAAATTTCAAAAAAAATCTTTGTATTTCTTTTCCTCTCTCTTTTTTTAAGACCAAAAATAAATAAATAAATAAATTTTATTTTCTCTATCCTTCCTTTGTTTTTCTTTTTTTGATAATTTTTTCTTTTCTCTCCTACCAAAGATAGCATAAGATATACAAATATAGTATTAGGTGTTTCTTACATGAAGTATGCCCACTTGGAAAACTTTTATGTCCTTCCTTTACAATACTTGTCTGTCCATGGCATATAACATCTCCCAATTGATCATAAATCTGAAAAAAAAAAAAAAGAAAAAAAAAAAGGGTTAAATATGAGGTACCCTAATTAAGAGTGGAAAATGGAACAAGAAACAAAAGAAAAAAATTAACAGTCAAAGCGCTATAGATCCAGAGGACCATACATCCTTTCCATCTGGAAAACATCGCCAAAAAAAGTCTGGTCTAGGCCGACCAACTGCATCCTTTATACCATCAGTGAGAACTGCTGTTACCAAAACAGAGAATAAAAGGCCTGTGAAAAAAGAAAAAGAAAAAATACACAGAATCAGACTGTTTCTACAAAATAGCTAGCTCAATTGACTGAATCTATTTTAAGAAAAATATTAATAAAACAAGATGAAGCTGAAAATTGCATCACCTAGTATAGCATGATGAAGATCATAGACGTCCTTCCTACGAAAATAAAAGAAGAGAAAGATGGCTATAGGCAACAGAACCGCATACATCTAATCAAACAAAAAATAAATTTAGAAAACTTGTCACATATAAGCATTGCAATATAATTATAAAGTGATTGTACATAATAATGTAAATAATAGCTTACAGGAACAGCCCATAGAGGAACTGTGTTATCTTTTAAGGGATACTTGAGATCATCCATCATGTCTTTCCCGACAAAGCGAGGAAATGGATGGATAAGATTCAGGACAACATCTATTACCACAAGAAGCATCATTATAAGCCAGTCATGCATGTGCATCCTAGCCACTGTGACTCCATGGGACCTTACAGTATGTGACCCAAGCTGGACTTCCAGCAGCCTTTCCTGTAAATGATAAATACACATGCAATCCACCATGACACAAATTATAGTGATTAGATAGACAGCAAGCTAAACTGTGATTAACACCAAAAATATGAGAATCTTTTGGGCAATGTTTGGATCTTGGATTTGTTGAGGCAAAGGAAAATGGAAGAGAAAGTGACAATTTTCCTTTCTCTCCACAAATTCCTCGACAAATTCAATATCCAAACACAGCCTTGGCAGTTGTAATTTTGTTTGTTATTTTGAATTTCCACTAAATACTACCATATATTCACATATTTCAATAAAAGCTACCCCCATATTTCACATAAGGCTACAAAGTCCCAAGTTATGGTGTTTGATTTAAAAATTAATAATTATTGTGCTTTGGATGTTTGTCAAAGGTAAGTCCCAAAACTTCATAAAATGATGATGATGTTGCAGGAGACAAAAAGAGTAGGGTAGTAAGAGTAACTGCAGAGATTAGATTAAATATCCAACCCCCACCACAAACAATAAGAAGGAGAAGAAAACAAAAAAATGACAAAATTTGAACGTTGTAACTAGCTGTGATTATGTACATTTTGCTTATCAAAATAAAAAATTTTGAGGACCCGTTGACTGAGTAAAGCATTATAAAGAGATGATGCAAACAAGGAGTAGTAAATGAAGTAGAGACACCATAAAATTGAAACCAACATATACTTCATATTTCAACACATAAGCATATAACTAACAGACCAGTATTACACAAACAACTTGTAAAAGTTTTTGGACACAAATTAGCTGTCTGTGCAAGCATTATATAGCAAAAAAATAAATAAAAGGAGAACACATCATTAAGCTCAAAGGTTTTTGGTAATTGATGCTAGTAAGAAGAAAAGGGGAAGAAAGTGAATCTCAGAACAGCATAAACGAGAGTAAAGACAAAAACGAAACTTTCCACATAGCATCATATTTGAATTCTTAAGAATGGCAAGGTTAACCAAGGTTAACATGAATGGGTTTTGCACTACTAAAAGGGGGTAAGTACCTCTTGGTTATTGTATTCTATCAACGGAGAGTAGAGGCGTGAACACCTAGCACTAAAACTGCAGCTATCTCCAGCCTCTGGCTTCATACATCTAGATGACCCGAACAATCAATATTCAGGGAACCCCAAAAAAAAAAAAACAAATAAAAAAGTGGAAAAAAACCTAAATCGCAAAAGTTAATGTCAAATGAAATCTTCATTAGTATAGGACTAAATGATAGTGTAATGGATCTAAATTATAGTGTAAAATGAGTATTTTTGTAGGGCTACATAAAATCTTCACATAATATTTTCTTTTTTTTTTCTTTTGAAAAAGGAGAACAATTAGAGAACACATATACAACTACTAATAATCTAAATAGTGTAACAAAACAGCTGAGTTTATCAACATTAACACAGATGGAATCAACCACAAAATATGAAATATTATATGATTGACTATTAAAGAGTATCATCAGTTGTAACAAATCAAAACATGCGCCAAATAGTCATCATAATGTTCAAGACACACACTGGAAGATTTGACGGGACAAACTAGCCCAAAATACAAACCAATAAACTGGGAAAAGGGAACATAAAGTCTGATGCTAAAATGTTGTGTTAACAACTTATGTTGTGTTTGGTTGGAAGATTTGAGGAGGGATTTGGAAAAGGAAATGGAAAATATAAGTGAAATATGAATAAAACATACCTAAATTTCACCTAGTTTCACACATCTTTTCCCTTTCCCTTTCCAAATCTCACATCAAATTCCCCAACCAAACAGAGCATTAGTAATCCTTGATGTAAATATTTGAAGCTTCAAATGTATCTAATAATATATGTGAATGATTAGCACCATTTTTAATTAGAACCACATCACAAATCATAAACACCATTAGAAAGACATGCAATAACAAGAATAAAAGCTGCTCAATTAATTCTGAACATGAGCTTTATATGTTTGCACTAAACTGAAGCTAGATTGCTATGATCCTATCCTAAAGTCCATTTTTACAACTTTAGGCATCAAATAACATTCTTAGAAGCATCTAGAAGTTGTAATCTTTAGGTAATGTTATTGAGAGATTTTTTACTTTTTAATCTGAAAATTCAGTGTTGCATAGCCCAGTGTTACTTATTAATAGCCATTTCATTTTTCAATTGCTTGTTCTCTTTCTTGAACATCTCCAATCTATTCTGCATAAGACATAGGCATCATTTTGACCAGTAAATATGACAGAGGCATCATTTAAAATTAAATGACCTGCACCAATAGAGAAATCCCAATTCATTATTCTAAGAGCCCAAACTACATACATATGTTGTGGGTCAAGGGCTTAAAAACTAGCATAAAAAGAAGCATTAATGTCTCACCAAAATCAACCGCTTATACACATACATATGTGCATAACTATATGGAGTAAAATATGTACATACTCACACATTCCTATTCATAAAACAATAATAAATATGAACTCCCAAAACCAATTGAAAGCTGGATTTATAGGGAGAAGAAACCCCACCGACCCGAGAGATGGGTACATCTGGAATTATTAACCCAAGAAAGAGATAGCAGTGGAGAATCCGAGAATATTACAACAACAGCTGTGTTATAGCTAGCAATATCATTATAAAAGCAAAAGGTAAGTTTAAAGAGGGCCAAGCTTGCAAGTGTTAAATAGCATACAAATGATGAACAGAGTCGCATATCCAGAAAAATAATATATTTTAACTCAAATTTTACATATTTTAACTCACTTTTTTTTAACCTATAAAACAACATTTAACATTTCTCGAATAATATTGTTGGTAGTTTACGAGTGAATCATAAAAAAAATTAAAAAATAAATAAAATGAAGAGCGAAAAGGACAAAAAAATACTTGAGTTTGAAGTGGGAAATTGACAATGGGGGGTTTCCTAAATCCCTTTCTCTTGTTTATAAGCTCCAATGGTTACCGACGTGATACAGAGAGAGAGTGTGTGAGATGAGAAGAACCCTCTGTGTGAAGAAAGAGAAAGAGGGGGACATGACGTGGTTTGTTGAAATGGCTGCCACGTTTGAAAGCGGTGACTGCGCTGAGCGAGATATAGATTAACAAATGTTTTCGGGGAAAAAAATTATATATTTTATAAAAAATGATTAGTAGTTCGAATTTTTTTAAGTCTAAATGACTTAAATTGTTTAAAATGATGTCGTTTTGGATAGTGTTTTTTTTTTTTTTTCTTTTTCTTCTTTGTTTCTTTCCTTTTCATTCTTTCCCCTTTATTCTTTCAAACACAGAGAAGAGAGGGAAGAAAGGGAGAGAGAGAGAGAGAGAAAAGAGAGGAGAGAAGAGAAGAGGCGATCGATGGTGACGGTTGGCGATGGTGGCTGCAATTGACAGTGATGGTGGCGGCGATCGACGGTCCGATCTCCTCTTTCAAACTTTTTTTTTTTTAAGTAGATCTAGATCTGAAAAAAAAAAAAAATTATTGATGATAATGTTGATCCAGATCTGCAGACCAACGGAATTTTTTTTTTTTTGTTGATGAAGATGGTGATGATGTTGAAGATGTTGAAGATGATGAAGATGATGAACAAGATCTGCAGAAAAACAATGAAAAAAAAAATGATGAAGATGAAGATGAAGATCGGATGATATTGATGAAGATCTCTGTGTTGTTGATGATGAAGATAAACTCTGTTCCTCTCTCTGTGTTGTTGTTGATGAAAACGAACCCAGCTTCCTCTTTCTCTCTTTGTTCTTCATCTTTTTTCTTCATCTTCAAAGAGAGAAGAAAAAAAAAAATCGATAACGACGTCGCTTGGACTTGGGCCATTCGAGCCGTGATGATTTCGAGCTACCAATCGGGATTGATATTTTATTAAGGGTCATTTTCTTTGATAAATCTTATTTTTAAGTGTTTTATTTCATTTAATTTATATTCTTTTTGAGTATTTTATTAAGTCTTATTTAATGTAATAAAATTAAATTATTCTTTTTATTTTTTTACACATGTTTCTATTTTGAAACTAATATATAACAATAATTCCTCATTTTATTAACAAAATCTCTCTCTTATTCTAAAGAAAAAATCTCTCCCTTATTTTGTGGAGAAAATTTTTCCCTTATTCTAAGCTGAAAATCTCTTCCACATTCCATGAAAAAAATATCAAATTATGAACTTTGAACCTTTTTATAATTTAAAATTTTTTTAAATAACGCAACAAAATATCTGAATGAAAATCAAAATACAATGTGAATGTTCAAAGTAAACAACAAGCATACAACTAACTTTTGAAAAAAAAAAACACATATTAAAGTACAATGTGAATGTTCACAATAAATAACAAGCATACAATTAACCTTCAATAAAATAAAATTCATACCAAAATACAATGTGAATGTTCGCAATTTATAATTAACATACAACTAGTCTTAAAAAAATAACTTATATCAATGTAAACTGTTAGATTTATTTATTTTAATGATTTATTTAATTATGTTTTAATTTATTTGAAAGAGAAAAATAGAATCCAAAATTTATTTTGATGATTTATTTAATTATATTTTAATCAAAATTTATTTTGATGATTTATTTGATAGAGAAAAATAGAATCAAAATTTATTTTGTCTCATTATTTCTCACCTAAACCTTTATCCTAAATGTTGTTAGAATGTATTTAATATTTGATTAAATCAGAAGTTCAAACAGCCCAGCACAGCAGCAGACTAAAAGGTTCAAAAGGTTCAAGTGGAAGATATTCAAATTAGTAATGATAGAAGTACAACGGCTATAAACAGTTATAAAGATTCAAAAGGCCAAAAGGTTCAAAACGTTCAAGTGGAAGATATTCAAATTTGTAATGATGAAGTGGAAGATATTCAAATTGGTAATGATAGAAGTACAACGGCTATAAATTCAAATGACTACAACGGCTATAAATTCAAATGAATACAACGGCTATAAACGGCTATAATTTTTATTATATATACCAAAGCCTCTAATGTAAACAAGTTACAAAAAACTTGAAAATATTCTTTAATCTATAATCACTCACATCTATTCTCAGAAATTATACACTGAGCCTTATAGCATTAAGCTCATCTTTCCTGTGTGAGATTTACAGAAAAATCAAAGTATCATTTTATATGTCTATCTTTGAGAGATATTTATTGTAAGTTTTTTTTTAAAGCAAAAATATCATTTCATCTTGTAAAAGTGTTGCAAACACTGTGTTCTTGAAATCTTGAGAGTGATTGTGAATCACCTAAGATTTGCAAGGGTTTGGACTTGTGAAGTCTATGTAAAATCCGTGGAGGATTGCTCCATTTGTAAAGAGCTTGCTAGCACTCCTGTGAAGCTAGAAGATAGTGGAAAATCTTAAGTGAAGCTTGAGGAGTGGACGTAAGCCGAGTTGAAGCCGAACCACTATAAATTTGTTTGTCTCTCTCTCCTTTATCTTTTTATTTTATTTTAAATTGTCATAACTATATTTCATATTTTTATTGTGCTAAAATTATTAACTGACATAGTTGTTAAAACACTTGTGTTTAATTATTTTTATTTCATTAATTATATTTATCTATTGTGTTAGTCATAATTTTTATTAGGGTATTATTAATTTTTAATTGTAAAAATCTAATTCATCCCCCTCTTAGGTTGTCTTTTGGGTAACATAAACATTTACACTGCAACGTGAAAACATATAACAAAATTAAAAAAAGTAAAAATTGACTATTTCAATTGTTCAATGGTAACAAAAATGATTATTCAACTAACAAGTATAGTAACAAAAACAACAAACATACAATTAACTTTTAAAAAAATGAAACTCATACCAAAATGTAATGTGAATGTTCACAATTTACAATTAATATACAACTAGTTTTTTTAAAAATAAACTCATACAAATGTGAACATTCACACTTCAACAAGAAAACATAAAATAAAATTGAAAAAAGTGAAAATCGACTATTTCAAGTGTTCAATAGTAACAAAAATAATTGTTCAACCAACAAGCATAATAAAAAATAAAAAAAATAAAAAAAAAACAAAATACAACTAACTTTTGAAAAAAATTCAAAAAATAAAATTCACACCAAAATATAATGTGAATGTTTACAATTTACAATTAACATACAACTAACATAAGAAAAACTAAATTCATATCAATGTCAACATTCACATTGCAACATGAAACAAAATTGAAAGGAAAAAAAAAAAACTATTTCAATTGTCTAATGGTAATAAAAAATGGTTGTTCAAACAATAAGTATAGTAACAAATAGCCAGTGATATGTGAACATTTACATCCGGCAAAATATATAATTACGTGTAGACACCCCATTTTTGACCGCCCTTAAGACTTGGGCGTTACTGATGGTTTACTTGGTGTTAAAAGCTGTGCAGTGCAAATGTTCAGTTTCTTCGGCAAGAAGAGAGAGTCAAATCCCAACTTCATACCCCTTTTGGACCAAAACAATCTTGATAAAAAGATTTTAGATCTTGAAACCCTCTCTTTCAAAATGTTTTGAAAATAAAATTCATACGATGTTCGGACGCTCGTATTTCGTTAAATGTTGCGCTTTTCGGTAAACCAAGCAAGGACAAAGTGGAAATGAATGAAAGAGAGATAAAATTTTTGAAAATTCTTTCAAAACACCTTTCTTAGGGGTTTGGAGTTGAAGAAAAGAAGAGGAGAGGGAAGAAAACTAGTTGAGGAGAAGTTTGGCATGAATCTAGGAAGGATCGAAACTGAGCGGTTTCACCAAAACAAGCATAACTTTTTTCATAGTTGGAATTTTGATGCAAGGCTTTCACTATTGGAAAGATTACTTCTAGGGATTCAATTTGGACAGAAGAATGACTTGAAAATAAGTCAAGATGAAGGAGTTATGCTCATTTGAAGTTGGACCTGGAAAGCAGAATTTTCCTGCCGATCATGAAAAGTAGCTGGGCGACCAGAAAAGTGGTTTACAGGTCCCAAACTCAGATTTTTCGAAGATCTTTTCCCTCCAGTTGTTGTGCACTGCTCTAGATATTTCCAAACTTAGATATTTTGAACTAACTCTTGTACATTGCTATATATGAGGCTTTTCACTCATTTTGCAAGGAAAAGAAGATGAAAGACATTTTGGGAGCCTCTCTCTCTAAAAAAGTTCTCTCTCTCTAGAAATTTCAGAGCAAAATCTCAGCATTTCTCTCTAGTTGGCCCTCCCTCTTGACCTTGTGTGCATGCAAGAGATATACTTGAAGATATACCTCTCCTTTGCCTAGGCACCCTTAACCAAACTTAACCACCTTTGGGCTGAGGTTCTTTGAGGATCATTTGGAGCTCCAAAAGGCTAATTTTGGCTTAGATTTTGGCTGGTTTTGCTGCTGTCCTTCAAGGTGCTTCAAGGGTAAGCATTTGTCCCTTTAAACCTTTGCTTTGCATGCTTGTTTTACCACCTTTGTAAACTATTTTTGGGGTGGTGTTGAACTACAAAAACCCTTGTTTTTCCTCTATTTTTTTAGTCCTAATAGTGTTGGTTTGTGCCTTGTTTGGCTAGGGGGTTTTCCTCCCTTTTGTTCCTTGGCTTGTAAAGCCTCTTGAGCCATCTTTCACCACCTTTCAAACCATCTTTGTTTGGCCTTTTAACCACTAAAATCCAGTGGATTTTCAGTGAAAGAAAGGGGGTTTTGAGGTCCCAAAAGGGAGAGGGTCATCCCTTCTCCTTGTGTCCCCAATACTTGTCTTCAATGCCTCATGTGTGAGCATGTTTGTTAAGTTTATGTTGGTCATATCTTAGCATGTATTTGGGCTTATTTTAGCATGGCATGCCACTTTTTTTACTTGGTTTTGTCACTCCATGTATGCCTTATACACTTGTAGTGTAAATCTTAGAAACTAGCTTTATGTGCCTCATGTTTGAGCTTGTCTTTCTAGCTGATTTTGGAGCCATATCAGTAGGTTTTTGGTGTTATTTTAACATGCCTTAAATCTGTTTTGGGTTGGTTTCATTGGCTCTTGCATGCCTAATACACTTGTAGTGTAAATCACACAAACTAGTCTTGTATACTTCATGA